CTGGCCATGGCCTTGGCTCTGAGCAGGGCTGCTGGAATGATCTGAGCATCCACGGGAGCCCATGTCTTGAACACAGCAAGCTGCCATGTTGTCAGCTCCGACTGGACCAGCCCCGGTGGGTGGGCAGCCCTGAGACCCAGCCCAGCCCAAGAGCAGTAGGAAGAGTCTCCCGAGAGGCCTGGTGTGTGGAGTAGCCATGGTGGCCACCAGACAGCATTCCCACTGGCTACCTTACCCTCAGATTGACAGAGGGTTCCAGAGGTGAGGTCCAAAACAGAGCCAGGACAGCCCAGCCAGGGGCCCAAGGTCAGCCCGAGAGGCCCGGGAGACACAGGTTTAGGTGCCCACATCCCCAGCGGGTGGGAATCAGCTGTGAGGGACAGGTGGACAGTGGGTCCACCTCGGCATCTCCGAGGGTGCTGGGCCAGCCTGAGTCCTCCCGCCCCACTGCCCTGCCGTGTAGAACTCACATCCACTCTGGTCCAGTCCTGCAACTCTCCGGTCACCGAGTCTTTTCAATTTCACCCCGGAACGCTGGAGAGAGCCTGAAAATACGCACCTGGCGTCTGAAAACCGGAGTGGACTCAGTCCCTTCACTATGCCCTGTGCTCTGGCCAAGGCTCAGCCATCAGTAGTTCACTAGAGGGGCTGTTCCGAGAGCCAGGCAGCCACAGCGACTAGGGCCAGCCTACTGTTCTTGGCTGACCGCACACACGCCCAGTGTCCCCTTGCCCAGGGCAGCCACCCTGGACACATGCAGAAAGGTAGGCACAGGGCCTGCCTCCCTGAGTGCACAAGAGTCCGCGCCTGGGGGGAGGGGTCCAGCTGCTGTCCCCAATGCCAGGTTCATGACCCCTGGCTGCCCGTCCTCCTGGTGGTGCACCTGGCTGGCACCGGCGCTGACCTGTTTCATCAGCACTGCAGCGTAGGTGACACACACTCAAGCAAGTAGGCCCTCCAGGAGCTCTCTTCCTCTTGGCCTCAGTCTCCCAGACTGCAAAATGAGCCCCAAAATCAAACCCAGAGCTGCTGAGTGGACACACCTTGCAGTAACCCTGTGAAGAAGGCAGGGCTGCCCATGGGCTTTCCAGGCTGTTGGCTTCGGGATGCAGACAGCTCCACCTTCTTCCCTCTATCCTTCCGCGGTTAAACTTAGGGCCCAACCGGAACCCTCAAATTTACCTCAGCTCCTGTCGCAGAGACCCCCCACACGGAGGTTCCACCAGCCTCACCTCAGAGACGAAAACCTGAAGTAGGGTCATGATGTCATCCTCCTGGGTAGGGTCACGAAGTCACTGAGGAGGGTCAAAGGGTCACTTCCCCATCCAGGCCACCCTGCCCTTGCCCCCAGGCTCAGGCCAGTCAGCTATTGTCCAGGCGATGAGCAGGGCTGAGAGTGGGACCAGGGCTCAGAGTGAAACCAGGGCTCAGAGTGAGACCAGGGCTCAGAGTGGGACCAGGGCTCAGAGTGGGACCAGCCGAGACCTCTGGGTGGGGTGGGGCCTGTAACAGAGCTCACAGCCTCCCCACTCCGACATGCGGCCTGGCTCCGTGGCTGGACTTCTCTGGACCCCCACATCCCTGACTGCCAACTGCAAGTCCTGCCTCTGCCCTCGTGGGGCCCCTCACCCACCCCAGTGGGTGCCCAGTGGCCCAGGGCCCCTCAGCATGGACAGGCCTGCTGTTCTCTGCTGGGCACCACGCAGTGTCCATTGACTCCTGGCTGGGCAGATCCCACGCCCCATAACCTTGGGGTCCTCCTCCAGGAGCTTCGGGGTCTACCTCAGAGCTCAGATTGTTCTAGAAGGCCCTAGCACACAGAGTCCAGTCTGCCTCTTGGGATGAGGGAGATTGAATTCTTCATTTCAGCCACGGCAGGAAATCCCACCCTGATGCTCTCAAAATCCTCCTTCCCCACATGTCTGTCTTTGCCTCCCCTGGGTTGTGAGGGAGGCTGTCCCCATGCCCGGAAGTCAGAAAAATTCAATTAAAAACTCATCGTGGCTGGGGGAAGGTTAATAAGAAAATCCTAAACCAGATTTATCAGCTTAAGGCCTGCTTCCAGAACCTTTATTAAACTTGCATGAATTAAAATAGACTCTCCCAGAAAAACTTGGCACTGAGGCTGAAGCGGGTGAGCTAGGGCCACCATCCATGTGCCGGTTGACAGTGCCCTGGGGCTGCCACCACCAGCATTCCCCACAGGAGGGGTGCGGCCCTCGCTGTGTAACGCAGGGAAGGTCTGAGGTGCTGTGTGGTCGTCCACGGGGACCGGAGAGGGCTCCGAAGGGGCCGTGTGTGTTTACACATGTGTATGTGTGCATGTTGGTGTAAGGCGGGCGAGGCTTTGTGCATATGTACACACAGGAGCACCACAGGAGCCCTGGTGGCATAGGGCTGGTAACTGAATGGTCGGCAGTTCAAATCCCCCAGCCAGCTTCCTCCCAGAAGCATCAGAAACCAGAGTGAAGAGTCAGAGCCAACTCAGCAGCTTTAGGTTCCAGTTTGGGTTGTTCAGCATGAGAAACCACACCCCTGCACGCCTGCCTCCCCACCAGCCTGTCAACCCTCCTGCCTGAGCCCCCCGGCCCAGGAGCAGCGGAAGCAGGAGCTGGCTGGCAGAGGGTCCCTCATCTCTTTGTTAACAAGTTTCTAGTTGATCACACACACAGCAGACATAGACCTACTGACCCGATCTTACCCGATCTTAGACTGCTTCCTGACACTGGTTCTGTCCGGGGGCGGGACAACCCCCTCCCTGAACCCACCCGCACCCCCCCCACCTCTGACCCTCTGCTCCTTCTAGTGGGCTCTTTTCCTCGTCCAGCATGGCTGACAGAGACACCGCGAGGGAGTGGCTTTCACAAACAGAAGTGTAGTCCTCACAGGGCAGGACACGAGCAGGACAACTGAGGTGCCAGCCCCAGGGGGTGGGGGGGGCCTCGTCTCTGTACCTGTTGAGAAGGAAGGCCCTTGTCCCCTTCAGCATGGGCAGGACCTGTGTCCCTCACAGCTCTCGTGCCCTGGCCTCGCCCAGCCTCGAGCAGCTTCCCAGCACAGGGCCTGACACACTCCTGTCCTGGTGAGTCCCTGGGTGGCACGGAGGTCGCCCTGCCCTTCTCTCACTCTTGCCCCCTCATGTCTCTGATGACAGGACACTGTATCCCCCCATTAATCCTCCCTGAACTCTGGCTTCTTAGATGGTTGGAGACCGTTACACAGCCTCACATTACTGTGTTACAGGCACATGTTTGTGTAATGGGATAGCTTCAGTCCATGGCACTGGTTACTGTTCATTTTCTCGCGTAAGTTGTTGCTGCTGTGTGCTGACTCAGCTACGGCTCGTGATGACCCTGGAGGCAGCAGACCTGGGCCCTCCCTGGCCCGTCCTCTCCGTCCTGACAGGCCCCCAGCCGTTCTTACAGTCAATGCAGCTCATCTGGTAGAAGGCCTCCCTCTCTTCCGCTGACCCTCTCCGTCCCCAGCATGAGGCTTTTCCCAAGGTCTGGCCCCTTCGGACAACATACCCGAAGTATGTGATACAAAGTGTCACCACCCTTGTCTGGTTGCAACTTCCTCCGAGACAGATGTGTTAGTCCTGTGGGCAGTTCATGGGGTATCCAACGCCCTTCACCAACACCAGTTAGGATCGCACATAGTCCTGCAAAAAGCATGATGCCCAAGGCAGGCCTTTCTTACTAGTCCTGTTTTGAACACTGCAAATGATGTTTTTGGTTAAAGATTATCTCTGCCATAGTCTCAGGGGTTCATCCATCCTCCATGGCTCCCAAAAGTCTAGAGACTATAAGAGTTTAAAATTCTGTTCGGCACCCCTCCCCTTTTGATCAGGATTCTTCTCTGGAATTTCACTCCTTACGTTATTGCTGGGCACCATCGGTTCTGGTTGCCTGGCAGTAGAGGCAATTGTCCAGGAGACCCTTGGCCACACGTTCCATTTCGTCCTCAGGTTCCAGACTCGCCTTTCTCCTGTCTCTCCAAGAACAGAGGTCACTTGTGCCCTGGATGGATGCTCTCACACTTGTGACTCCTCACCTGGATGGGTCCCTAACACCCCCATCTCTTCCGTCTTGCAGTACGCGGGTGAGGTCCCCGAAAATCGGGTGGAGACAGTGGTCGCCAACCTCACTGTGATGGACCGTGACCAGCCCCACTCACCAAACTGGAACGCCGTCTACCGCATCATCAGCGGGGACCCCTCCGGCCACTTCAGCATCCGCACAGACCCTGTCACCAATGAGGGCATGGTCACAGTGGTGAAGGTGGGTGACAGGGCCCTGAGACAGACCCAACAGAAATGATGCCCAGTGCAAGTTGTGTGCCACCCCATAGCCAAGGCCAAAGGGCAAGGTGGCCAAGATCTTACAGTGCCAGCCACCTGCCAAAGTGGTAGCTCTCCTGCGTGACCTGGTGTCAGCGCTGTGGTCAGACAGGCCTCCTGTGTGTCAGGCAACTCTCCGCATGGCCCAGTGTCAGCCCTGTGTTCAGGCGCCTCTCCCATGTGCGCCGGTGTCAGCGCCATGGTCAGGCACCATTTGCAGTGGCCTTGTGTACAAGAGGGCACACACGGCCCGGCCTCCCCCATCCTCATGGGCTCTGCTGACCTGGGCCCATTGTCCCAGCTGCTGTGTGAGTCTGTCTCATTGGGGGGTCTTCCTCTTCCTCACTGACTGGCATGACGCCCTCCTCCAGGGCCTGCCCCGCCCAAACTCCTCATTGGTAAGTGAGCTGCCGTGTCACGTGCTGGCTTCGAAGCTCTGTGGGCGCCGCCCCCCACGCAGCGCTGTCGGGATCAGCTCCGGAAGCTGAGCGGCTGCTATCTGTGCTCAGCCTTTTCCTGAGTGTATGCTGCTGCTTCCGACTATCTTTTCCTAGACTTGGGCATCAAGTTCAGGGTGACCTCAGGAAGTGCTGTGGGCAGTGTCCCTTCTTTCTCTGTCCCCAACACATGTCACAAGGTCATCACTATCCACCCCCCTACGTGGAACGTGGCTGTTAAGCCCTGTGGACCCGCGGCTTAAGGCTTGTGAAATGGACTTGTAACCACGGGTTCAACTTCTCTAGGGGTTTGAGTCGGTTCTTTTTCTATAAAATTGCCAACTTGGTGTAAAATGTCAGATGCATTTTAGTAAGGCTGTCACCCAGTCTCCCACAGGGAGTCTCCTTCCCATGCCCCTCCCCAGAGTGCTGGTGACGCCATGAACCTGACATTGACAGGGTCAGTGTGACACACTGAGCCCCTGAGTTCCAGTTTAGTGGAAGTGAGGACAGAAAGCGGGAACAGCAGGTGCTGGTGGAGAAGGGAAAGCCTGGAGGTAAGTGAGCCTAATGCCAGGTGGTCCCTGAGGTACAGAGGACGAGGTGAATCTGGGGTTCTAGTCAAGAACGGGAGCTCTGATGATGCAGCCTATAGTTGCACTGCAAACCCACAAGCCACACCTCTCCAGTGGTTTGAATCCACCCGGGGCCGCGGGAGAATGATGGGCAGTGTCCTCGTGTGCGACTTGCAGCCTTAGAAGCGTAGTGCAGGCTCGGCTGGGGGGTCTTTCCACGTCCATGGCAGGGGGCTTGGGCTTCCCCTTCTTTTATCATTTAGAAATTACACTGAGCTGCTCATAACAGAGACCAGAACTTTAAAACACCGGTGCCCTCAAGTCATGTCTGTCCTCAGTAACGCTGTGGACAGACAGCCGCCCCACAGGGCCCCCACAGCTGCATGCCCCCCCCCAGGCTCTCATAAACAGCTGGTGGGTTTGAACCGCCAACCTTTTGGTTAACACGTTGCCGCACACTTTTAAATTGACGACCGTGTTTGGAAACACATTTTTTTTTTTGCCATCATTTGCGGCAGCATGTTAATAACCAACGGTTTTACCTGCAGAGCCACCAGGCGCCCGCTGGGAAGGCACCAGGGTCTACATGGCTGGGCCAGCCTTCCGAAGACGCATCTACTGGCCTTTGGGACACATGTCTTAAAGGACCACGGTGACTGCATTCAGAGCCCTGGTGGCTCGGTCTGTCATCAGCTGGAGTCTGCCAGCACTGTAAAGGATAAGCCCGAGGTTGCCTGCTTTGGAAAGGTGGCCGCCGCAGCACCCAGGGCAGGGACAGGCTGCCTCAGAGTCACTGTGAATGGAAGTCAACGCAGCAGCAGGGGCCTGGGACCAGGATGGCTACTCTGAGCGCATGCGAGGGCCCGAGAATGTCCCTCGGTCAGCGAGTCCCTGAAGCCCCACAATGCAGTGTTCAGGGATCCCCAGCAGTCAAGCCTGGGCCTCTGGGGGCCACGTTCAGCAGTCTACCTGACAAAGTAAAATCCTGCTTCATCTGTCCGTGTCATCGTGTCACCTAGCATGACATCTGTCCGTGTCGCCATGACAGCGAGAGGGCGTCCGGTTTGTATTCCGTGGGCTCCAGTCAGTCAGCCTCATCTCTGGCTCTGATGTGCAGGCCTGTCAGCCGGTTTCCTGCCCACCGTGATGAGGCCTCCTTGCCTCTGGCCCCACAAGACACCGGTCCCTGTTCATCTCGTCCATTTCCTGCCTCACATCCCAGTCAGCCACTTCCTTCCTTACGATCAACTGCCCACACCCCCAGGTCAGCTCGCTAGCTCAGAGGGTGAGTTGTTTGGTCCCGCTTAGCTGACCTTTCCTGCAAAGGTGTCCACAGTCTAATCTGGTGGGACTGCTCCTCCAGCCATGGACTTCAGCCCACCCTCTGGTCAGCACCTTGCAGGCATTGGTCAGCGTACCATGCAAATAATTATGCAAATGAAGTGTCTATGGCTAGCATTGGTCAGTCAGTGCCCCTTCCCTTCCCAAAGAAAGACCATTTCTTGAAAATTACAAGGACTTGTGTAGATAAGCTGCCATCCCCACAGGTTTGGGGACAGAAAGAAGCAGAAGAGTGAAGGGAGTGGAGAGACAGAGAAAGGGGTAAAGAACCTCCTTAAAGAAACGGGGGGTAGACAGAGGCCCAGGAGAGGCCCTGTCGCTATGGGCCCACTGTAGTGACACAGCTGAGACAGCCAGTCCTCAGGGGACTGAGAGGAAGTCACCATGGCTGTCCTGCACTGGAAAAGAGAGGCTTTCCCAAATGCTCCTGGATCCTGGCCCTGATCTGAGATGTATACACTGTTATTTCCTTGGTAAACCATTTAACTGTATGATTACAACAAAGTATCAAACCTAAGAGAGAGGCTCAGCTTTGGGGGGTCTGAATGCCGCTCTGTGAGTGTGACTTGACTTTGTTGACTTTATTCTTGTATCTCATTTCTCTTTCATGGAAAACCTTACTTACTCAAGACCTTGGGGGAGGGGGGCACTGTAAAAACAACCACTATGGAAAATTCTTTTTCAATTAGGCCTGCGTTGGCTCCTGAGGGTGTAAACCCTTAGGGAAGCAATCTCAGCTTTCTTCTACTCATCAACTGGTGGATTTGAACCCATCTGGTGGTCAGCAAGCAACCTGCACCCTATGCCGCCAGAACTGGTTCAAGTAATTGCTTCTTCCCCTTATTTTATAATATACGTTAAAAGTTTTAGAATAACAAATCCAAGATGCCTTCTCGCACCAAGAGACCCACGTGCGCTGAAGGCTCCTTGGCCATTATTGCTGTTGTCACTGCGGTACCCTGAGAATGTGCTCCTTGGAGGATTTACCATCTGAAGTCACACTGGTTCTCTCTGGGGAGTCTCACTGCCAGTCGATGCCATTTATTTCACGGTGATAGTTTGCAGCCCTTAGGTACAGGGATGGCCTTCGACGTGTTACTGCATTTTTAGTGCCGTCAGTAAGAGAACATGTGACTGCAGTGTCAGGACTGTTATGACACCACACCTTGTGCCGTCATGGCCCAGCGCTGATCTTCGCCTGCTCCTGCCCTTGGCCGTGGCCACCTTCTCCGCTAGTCTGATCCTTCTTTATAGCATTTCTTTATGCAGATTAGAAGCAAATGCATCTGAAAGCCATACTCCTTGCCCAGTTTTACCCAAAAGGCCGCATACCAAGTGCCACATGAAAGAGCAACTGTTTGGCTCAAAACCACAGAATGTGTCCTCTCACCTCGCGGCCGTGAGAACCAGAGCCCTGGTTCACAGTGTGGCAGGGCTGGTTCTCCTGCAGACTTGGTGTCACCACAAGATTCTTACAGCTGCAAAGACCCTGTCCAGATAAACCACCTGCATGCTGGTTCTGGATCTGGGGGGACATAGTCTTTGGGAGCCACCATTCATCCTACTATACCTGGTGATGCACCCCAAGATTAGCAGCAAAGGGGGACCTTCATAGAGGGTTCAGGGAGGGGCCAGCAGGGTCCCAGTTCTGTGTAGGAAGACTTAACAGACTCAGCTACCCAACCTAGGCCAAGGGCAGAGGGCCGGGGGCACTGATCCCACCTTCTCTCTCCTCACTGGCCAAAGGAGCCCTGGTGGTACAGTGAGTTAAGTACTGGGCTTCCAACATCAGTGTCAAAACCACCAGTGGCTTCACGGAAGAAAGACCTGAAGACAACGTTGTGGGATCCCCACAGAACTCTGTTGGGTAGAACCCTGTGAACAGGAATGCAGAATCTGCAGGACCGCAGTGGGTAGAGTCCCCACAGCCGGCCCAGCAGGAAGCAGGAAGCTGGGGCTCTCGGAGACGGACTCCAGAGATCAGTCTTGTGCAAAGATGCCCTGAGATGAGCACGAGGTGGTGGACACGGACCACACCCTCCGAGCAAGGATGACCCCCTACTCAGGCCAGGCAGCCTCACTACACCCTCCAAGTGGTGCTTCCCCCAGGTCACCTCCAGAGAGCCCCAGTCACACCCTCCCTGCAATGGGGACCCCTGCCCACCCCTGGGCAGCCCCTGCCATGCCCTACTCTACCTCCCAGCTGTGCTGACCCCGCTCACTCCAGACAGGCGCAGCACGCCCTCTGACCCCCCGCCCTCTGACCCCTCTCATTCCAGACAGCTGCAGCACGCCCTCTGACTCCCACCCTTTGACCCCCGCCCTGACCCCCGCTCACTCCCGGGCACTCTCGTTGCAGGCTGTGGATTACGAGCTGAACCGGGCCTTTATGCTGACTGTGATGGTGTCCAATCAGGCCCCACTGGCGAGTGGCATCCAAATGTCCTTCCAGTCCACAGCAGGTGTCACCATCTCTGTCATGGACAGCAATGAAGCCCCCTACTTTCCCTCCAACCACAAGCTGATCCGCCTGGAGGAGGGTGTGCCCGCGGGTACAGTGCTGACCACCTTCTCTGCGGTGGACCCCGATCGCTTCATGCAGCAGGCCATGAGGTGGGTCCATGGTGCCCCATGTCCTGACAGAGGGTCCCCAAGTCCAGGGAGACCTGTGGTCAACCCCAAGGATGGCAAGGTCCCCAATACAGGCTGTCTTTTAAGACAGAGAAGAGGAACTGCTTGGGGGGCAGCTGAGTCACCCCACTAAACACACAGCCCCTCCAGATATGATGTCCAGAACCAGAGGCCGGCAGCAGGGGCCCAGGCCTGTCCAGCCCATCCTAACACCCTTGAGCTGGTTGGCCAGGGTCCCTCTCTGTGCCTCAGTTCCTTTATCTGTAGGGTGGGGTGCAGAGGGTCTGGTGACAAGTGTGGGCAGGGAAGTTGTGCGCCCCACTAAGAAGCCGGCGTGTGGCCGGTGCCCTTCAGCTCTTTGAAGGGACAGCAGGGCCCAGCCTGAGGTGACACATAAGCAGTTCTGTTTGGTCTGCTGACCTCTGACCCCTCACCATTCCTTCAAGCCCTCCACAGCCTGTCTCCATGCCCCTGTTCCCCTGCTCGCCCACTCCGGTTTTGCTGCCCCTACTCCCATCCCCCCTCTTGTCTTCCCCACTCCTGTCCCTTCTGTCCCCTTTCATCTCCCCCTCCTGTCCACCCTGGTCCTGTACCCCCCACCCTGGTTCTCCCCTCTCCCATCCCCCTGCCCCCCCACTCCAGTCTCCTCGTTTCTGAGCCTCACCATCCCCTTGCTGCTCCCCAAGAGGCCCATGGGCCTGGGGACAGCAGAGTGCTGGCCACTCCCATAGACACAATGTTGCTCGAGCTCTGAGCTGCTGGCCAAGGGCAGACCCTCGGGCAGGGAGTCCTGCCTGGGCTGGGGCAGGGGAGCAGCAGCCCCTGATATGAGCGGGGCGTGGGGGGATTGTGTACCAGGGAAGGAGTGTTTCTTTTACTTTTTAAAGAGAGGAGTGAACTGGGGGGGGGGGGGGCAGCAGGGAGGATCTGGGCAGCTCTGTTCCTCCTGGCCTAGGGAGGACCCTCACCCTGCACTTCCCTAGGTATTCAAAGCTGTCTGACCCAGCCAACTGGCTGCACATCAACACCACCAACGGGCAGATCAGCACCGCGGCAGTGCTGGACCACGAGTCCGCCTACATTAGAAACAATGTGTACGAGGCCACTTTCCTGGCTGCTGACAACGGTGCGTGGGGGTTGGGTGGGAAGGAGGACAGTGCATGGGGGGCTGGCTGGGGTGGAGGGCCGTGGGCCGGGCAGCACCAGGTGCCCTCAGCCAGCCAGACCCAACGTCCTGCTTTCATTCAGCCCTCAACCATCCACGTGGCTGCCCCCACCCCGTCCCTCAGTGGACAGGCGCTGTCTGCAGGGTGACCAGGCCGGGGTGCCCCAGGCCATCCACTACTCCTCTGCCCCTTCTCAGCTCTCTCTGTAACGTGAGGAGCAGAACAGAGGGGACAGAGGGTCAGCCCTGCCCAACTCCCTGGCAGGAAGACCATCCCGGAGGCTATGGCCTGGACACAGCCTCCTGAGCCCCCGCCCCAGTCAGAACAGCAGCCAGGGGACAAGGCAGTGAGAGGCCATGGGGCAGGAAAAGGCTGTCCCAAGAAGCCCAGCTGTAGGGCGGAACTCCTGCTCACCAGCACCCCGGGCCCTCCTGGTGGTGCTGAGTCGCGTCTGTGACTGTGGGTGTGACTTAGAGCTCTGGGAGCATGTCCTGGGGTGTGTGTGTGTGTGTGTGTGTGTGTGTGTGTGTGTGTGTGTGTCCTGTCCACACAGCTGGGCTAAGGTGGCACCTGGGAAGGCTGTGCATTGGAGAGGCAGGGACATCAGGCTCGGTGTGAGCAGGGAAGCAGGACCAAGACTGCGGCTGGGTGAATCTGTCTGTCCTGTGTGTGGACTTAGGGCTATGTCCATCCCCGCATCCCTGCACAAACTTAATGTCTCTGTGTGTAACAAATGTGCATGTGTCTGTCCATGTGGTAGATGTGATGTCTGTGTGTCCTTGTGTGTGGTGAATGTCTGTCTGTCCATGTGTGCAATGCTGGGTTATCTGTCTGTCCCTGTGTGTCCCTTCATGTACAGATGTCCATGTGTCTCTGTGTGTCTCTGTGTATGTATGTGTGTGTGTCTGTGTCTTTGTGGTGGATGTCTCTGTGTTGACCAGTGTGGAATGTGACCTTGACCTGTTCATGATGACCACGTGCATGTCTGTCCACAGGGATCCCGCCGGCCAGTGGCACCGGGACCCTGCAGATCTACCTCATTGACATCAATGACAATGCCCCTGAGCTTCTCCCCAAGGAAGCACAGATCTGTGAGCGGCCAGGCCTCAACGCCATCAACATCACTGCGGCCGACGCTGACATCGACCCCAACGTTGGCCCCTACGTCTTCGAGCTGCCCTTCGTGCCGGGCGCTGTGCGCAAGAACTGGACCATCACGCGCCTCAATGGTCAGTCCCCGAGTGAGGCCCCAGGGCATGGGGGTGTCCTACTAAGCGAGACCCTGGGGGTGTCCTCCTGGGATGCTCTGTCCTGTCCAAGGGGGGTGACCCCTGAGGTGCTCTGTCCTGTCCAGGGGGGTCTCCCCCTGGGGTGCTCTGTCCTATCCAGGGGCCATCCATTCAAGCAGCACAGACCTACAGCCTGACCTTGGGGCTTAGCCTCCAATAACATCCTGGGCTAGTGATGGGGCTGGACTGGCCACTGTCCTCCTTAGACACTCTCCAATCTCAACACCCTGGAGAGGCACTTGGGCTGGGTGGCTCTGAGGACAGGGGACGGGGACATCCCACTCTAGGCAGCAAGGACCCCTGCTCATTTGTGGAGGGATATGTGTGCTGTGTTGTACGTTACGTGTGGAGTGTGTGCTGTGTGGCATGTATCCTGTGTGTGCCCTGTGTATGTTGGTTGTGGAGTGC